ACTCTTTCCTGGAACTTCTCATCTCCTCCAAGCATATTTTCTAGCTGTGGAAGTAAAAAGCACCTAAAACAAGTCCAAGCTCAAATAAACCCTGCCAAAAATTCTTCTAGCATTGGCTTTAAAGTACTCAAGAGTTAGGTCGGAGAGCATTGGTAAAAGGGCACTGGGTCTGCAAGACCTCAAGAACATATATGAGCCTCATGGAGTGTACAAGTTTAGAAAGACGATAAAAGAACTTTAGGCAAGGCAGTTTGTTCAGTCTGTAGCTCAATGACAGTAAATTAACTCCTCCTCCCTTTTTATGAAGGGGGAAAACCGAGGCCTGGTATTTAATTTAAACAAACAAACAAAAAAAAAAAAACACCTTAAGATGAAAGAAGAATATGACATGAATTACTTTTTTTGTGTATTTGTCAATACCTGATCGACTAGAGGCATCATCAAGGTTTCCGCTCTTTCCTTGCTCAGGAATTTCTGAGTGTCAAAGAGGAAGAGTTTATGCAGACAGTCCATGGTGAACTGCAACAGTAAGCAGCTCTTTTCAGTGCCATTCTCAGAGTCAAAGAAAGCTTCATCTATGCGAGGGAGGGGAGAGGGGAAAAAAAGAAAGTTACCACCACAAGGACCAGATACTCAAAAGTTCCCCCACAAGCTAGAAACATTGCTAGTTATGAATATAACTAAAGGAGACATTACATAGTGATTGTGTACTTATCACAGAATAATAAACCAAATGCAGTATGTTATCTGACTTTTAGCTAATGCTCTTGCAGGTCAGCTGGGGATAAAAGCCAATACTCACAGGCTATAAAAACGGTGCTTGGCCATACCTCTGGAGATGGAGAACTGCATCAGGTAGCTGGATACGGGAAGGGGGAAATAGTTTCCCATACAAAAAAGTAGTACCTATTCTTGCTAAGGTGGCAGAGGAGTCCGAGTAGACCAGGTGACAGTAGGTTGGCATGTAGGAGAAGTCAAATGAATGAGAAGAATACATATGGGAGGACAAGTACCAGAAACAAGCAATCCTCCTGCCACACAATTTCATTCTCATGGAACTCACTGGGACTGACACTGAAAATTTTCACGTGGCCTCAACTTTGTACTGGCAGTCCAGAGCCCATAGATGAAAAGAATCCTTTGGTTCCATCAGAATAAGAAAGTTGCCTTATTTATAACAGAAAGAAGAGAGAGGTATGTCTTGGGGAATTAATCCTTTAAGATTAAACTTTCAGCAATTATAATTACCTTGCCAATGCATCCACGTAGCCAGTAACTGAAAACTTACCAGTTTTAGAGATGTTGACCTGGTTGAGTGTTTCAGCAAATGGCTTCACTAGATGACCAGCAAACAGGGTGAAGAGACTTTTGAGCTTGTCTGCAATGCAATCTGCTAACCGGTGGAATGTCAGCAGTCTATCTTTTAGGGTACGCTCTGTTTTTGACCAGTCAAAGAGCTGAAAATGAAAGGCAAATTAGCTCTTGCTTGTGTACATGCACTGGAAAATTCAAATGTGCTGATGCAGATGGATTATATTTGAACTCCTTACCTTGAAGAAGAGGGGTCTGAAAGATGCCTCAGAAAGTTTCATAACCATACTTATTAGGCAATCAATAATATAAGTCTCTGTCTTACCAACTTCCTCCAAATCATCCTACAAAAATTGGAAAACACAATTCCAAATTTGTAATGTAAGAAACTGAGCTTTCGAAGCTTGTTTCAATTCTGTCTGTTCCAGGTTAAAGACGTAATCATAATAATTTTCTACCCCCGATGAACAGTATTTCAGACAGAATATTTGATACCCAAAATCTCAGAGCACACGTGCTCTGAAATGAGAACTCTAACGTTCTAACTGATAGAATTAGCATGCAGAAGCTGCCTTTGTTTGTCCCCCTAAACAATCCACCTGGGCATGCTCCGTTCGAAAGTCCAAGGCTTTCATGAAAAATGCTGTCAGCTCAGACTGATGAGAGATCAGGTGCTCCTTCTCCATAACCACAATGTGCTCCTTCAGAATGTTCATAAGGGGACCCAGGCAGTTCTGTCAGAACGAAAGCAAAGCAAAGCAAAGACAGCTGTGATACTGACAGGAACTGAGAAAAACAACAAGGAAATTGGATTTTTGCACTTGTACTCATAAAAATAGGATCAATAAAATAACTACGCTTTTTGCTTTACTTTTTTTTTTTTTTAATTAAAGCTAGTAGTACTTCTGAAAAAAGTTTGGTCTCCCCCTCTCTCATCCCGGAGACAGTAGTTAAGACTGAAATGTTTGCTCCTGTGAGGGAGGAGGAAAGCCCAGATGAAAATTACGACGCTCAACTCATTCCCAGCAGATAAAGCAAGACCTTTGTGAACAAAACAATGTCTCACACACTCGTGATCTAACATGCTAACAACAGTGGAACTGGAAGGAGTATACCAGTTTAACTTTTCTGTATAAGCTTTCCAGTATAAAAGAAACAAACAGATATTTAAGCACAATGCAAAAGAATGAAAACCCCCTAACCTTCCTGGTATTTGCAACTTCACCGTAACACTTGCTAATTGCAGGCAAGAGTATTCTGGGAGCAAGCTTTGTAGCTAGAATAGTTTTCAGTGACGTCACACGTAAGCTGATCTGGGAAGTAGGACCGAATTCCACCACAATCTTTTCCAAGCGGACAACCTATCAGGAAATCCAACAGCAAAGTTAGTATACTTGAAAACAACTCAGGAAATTTATTCTACAACAGTTGTCCTTCAGCACAATTTTGCCTGAAAACAACTACAGATACTACATCTTATGGGCACATGCTTATGTAAACTAGCACTTGCAAACATGTGGAAGTGAA